TTCATCTTCAGAGAGATATTTGAAGCATCTTTTGTAAATTTAACTTTTCTGTTTATAATTTTAAATTGTTTCATTCTAGAAAAGGTGCAATTTTGAGGTTTTTAAGGCATTATATCCCAAAAAGTCTTTGTGTAGGAATGCATTATATGAATATGTCAAAAGTAATACTGAACAAATATTAAATTTAAAACATCTTCAGAATTATAATAGAATATAGAGGCCTATATTATAGATGAATTTTAGCAAAAAATTTAAAATATTAATATTAAAGAAAATAATGAGCATTAGTAATATATTTTTCTTGTTTGCTTTCATAAAACTCCTTCAAATCTGAAATAACATTAATATAATTTGTACTAATGACAATTTGAAATATATAGCATGAAAAATTGTAATTGTTCTATTATTCTAAGAAAAAATCTTCAACAATGTTTAATTCATTTCTGCTTGAAACTATCTTTATAGACAATTTTAAAACAAATACAAAGCACTCCCTCGTCAACATAATAATAACATAATTTTAAATAAATTTTGCTATTTTCCTCAATTTTAAATTAATTTTTTTTTTTTGAAAAACTTTATTCTGTTTTCAGCAACAAAATATTTTAAGATTTTTTCCATTCTATTATTCATATATTCTAGATATAGTATATGGCTTTTTCCAACATATTCTACATTTAAAAAATTTTGGTTGAAATATACAGAAATGGTCATATATAACAGAATAGCAATTCAGCATTGTATATCACAAATAATACTAAATACATTGTATATGATAGATTTTCAATTGAAGTACTGTACATAGAACAAATCAAATTGAAAATATTAAATTAAAAAGACCATTCTAAATGAAAAATTCTAGTTCATATTAGCAAAATTTGTTACTGAATTTAAGTTACAATGTATTGTAATAATTACTAGTGGAAGGCAATATGTATAGATTTATGCTACACATTACAACATAAAAATGATACATATATTATTAATTGTTAAATAAATGTACCATGTCCAGAAAAACCAGCAATGCAATGAAGATTGTTAAACAACATTGCAATAATTAATATTTTTATCTTCAAACAAATTTGCAATAACAAATCTTTTTGCTTCCTTGATTCAGGCTTCCTGGCATAAATTACAAGCTATGCAAGCTGCCTACTTACACTCAACATTAAATATGACAAATATCAACTGCTTCAGAAATGATCCTTTGAAGTGTGATCTTCAACTAGATATTTTTGGTTCAAGATAAAATATTCAAAATATAACTTCAATTTTTGATATCTTTAAGAAAAATATCTGGATAAAACTAAGAATTAAAATGTTTTATATAATTTAATTCTTTTAATATAAATATTATGATAATTCATTAGCTAAGATTTTGAAAAGGTTTCTAAGAACCAGATTTGTTTAATTGTTATAGTATTTTTAAACTTTTTAATTCATTGATAACATATCTTATTTATAGAATTTAAAAGAAAATTTAGGAAAAGTACAACAGTTCTTTCTGTATTTTTGCCATAATTATTTTATCTCTTAATAAATACTAAGAGAGATGAAGCAAAAAATAAAGAAAATAGATCTGAAACTCCATACATATCCTATAATAAGTTATTTAGAACTTCAGATCCTTTAGTATATTGACTTTATCTTTATTAATAACTTATTTATTAACAAATATAATAATTATAACAGAATAAAATTTTTAAAATTTATTAGTCTTGTTTCAAATTTAATATGTAAATTACCAATAAATTAAAAAGTTCAAAATACTTCTGAGATTAAACAAATTTAAATCCATAAATAAACATATTATAATTTAGTAGTTTTAATCAAAAATGAAACTATTTTATTAATTAAAATCATAAAGGCTCTGAATTTATGATTGTATTCAGGCTAATGGTTTAAATATTTGTATCACTGGAATAGATATAAAAGAAAACATAAATGAGATATTATATATAATATTGCTATATTTTTTGCAAAAGCTAATAATAGAATGAAGTTAAAACTTTTATCTCTTTATCTCACCAAATATAAGTAATTTGATATTTTGACATAAGATATCAATTTGACTTGCTATTTTAAATTATAAATTTTAAATGATTTGAGTAAAAATTAGATTTAGTTTTGGCTTTTATACATTTATATTGATTACATGAAATCTATTAAATGCCNGAGTTTGCCACCTGGAGTTCAGCCATCCACAAATGCCATGAATTAGTTTGTCATTGGATTTGAATTGCTGCATCCCTAACCACATTTTTATTTTTGGGACTTTTTGCTCTGTAGTCACTAAGAGGATCTTTTTAATCAAATTTTTCATGAGTTTGGCCAGGCCCAGAATGGAGCATTTGAGTGGTAAGGGACAGGATCTCACATATCTAGGATGACCCACCAATAATGTCCTGAAGTTTTTTGACCTATCCAGATTTGACCCAGTCCCTCCAGAGCTAATGTCTTAATTGCCTTGGCCATTCAGCTTCCTAGTATTGTAAAAAAAAATAAAGATTCAATAAATGGTTAAAAGTGCTGCAAATTTTTTCGACAATCATTCTACATATTGTGTTTTTATTTCTCAGCCTTTGTATTCCAACATCATCTTTTCCTAGTTATCAAGTCATATCTAGACAAATCTATAATATAAGTTTGGCAAGTATGATATTCTGTATTTAAATATAACATTTTAGAAATATTTAAGTGAATATAAAAATATATATTAAGAAAATTAAAGTAAATGAATATTAGCTGATATCAGTTTTGAATAGTTCATAAAGCTAATTAACATTTTATACTATATTCTTAATTTCTGAGATAAATTTAAAATTCTTAGTTAAATTTTCTAAATTTTTAAAAGACTTTTTATGAATTATTTTTATTTTAAATATAATTTAATCTTAAAATTTTTTAAAGTTTAAAATTTTAAATTTAAAGACATACATATTTAGTAATTGTGTTCATATTTTTTTACCCTATAAAAATGTATGATAAATGCAAATGTTGAAATTTAGCAAATAAAAACATTTCATGTAAGGTATGCTAACTTCTTAAGTGAAATTCAGTTTTAGTATGATTGCAGCAAATAAATAAAATTAATTTTTAAAATAATATATTAAATTATGTTAATTTTAATATATAATATAGTATAAAGTTTAATGAAGAATAACAACTATACAACTATACACTTTTTGATAATCTTATATCAAAAATAAAAACACATTTGAAAAAACTACATTTTTTTAGTACAAGCATACTGCTGTTATAGTCAAAATTATTATTAATATTTACTAACAATGAAAAATATACTTTTACTGGAATAAAATATGAGATATTTTATAATCTGTAATTTTATGCTATAAAAAATTATTTGCAGCTATTTAAAAACAAATTTTAAAATTTAGAATAAAAAAAATTCAAATTAAATGATTGATATTAAAATTGAGATTATAATATGAGATGTTGAGCATCTAAGTGCAACATATAAAAGACAATTGTANGAAATTTTTTTTTTTTTTTTTTTTTGTGAAAACCAATATTATTCAAATGAAAAAGTAGACCAATATAGCTTTTGATAGAGAGTTATGGAAAATATTAACATTGGTTATTTTTGTATAAAATATTTTTTTAAATATATGTATTTTCTTAAAATGACTTTAAATAAATTTCAGCCAAAATCTGTAGAATTTAAGAAATAGGAAGTCATTAATTTATTCTTAATATTTTGCATTTAGATTTACATTACCATATCAAACAGTTCTGTTACTGTTTAGATCATATATAATCAGTAATAATAATGATAAAAATTGATTTACTTTATAAATTGCTTTTTTGATATCTTCATTTTTGATTTTATTTTATAACAAATAATTATGGTATATTACTGTTCCTTGTTTCTTATATCTTCTATTAGTTACCACATAATAAGCCTTTTAAAATATGAATATATAAACAGCATGATTTTGAATACTTGGACAAATAGTATACTTATAAAATCTAAAAAATACTTTTTTTTTCTGGGAAATTCAGTATTTCATAGTTACAAATGTTACCTAGTAATGAATGTGTGTAACATTTACATTACTATAAAATAATTCTTATTTTATAAAATATTACAATAAAAATAAATTTATGCAAATAATTAATGTAGCAAAGGTTTTAATTATGACCTCAAGAAATATAAAAATGTTAAAGTTATTAATTAATTGTTAAAGTTGTAATTAAAGTTATAAATTGATATATATCAAATTTGCATTTTATATAATTTAATGTTTTTATAATAAACTTAAGAAGTGGTATGCTCATATATCAATAAAAGTGGAGTCTTTTTAATAAGATTCAAGAATAATTTTAATATTCAAACTATCTGAAATTTAAAATTTATTTATTTCTTAATTATACAGTTTTTATATTATTTCTATAAATTTAATGTATGATAATTTTTATATTATATATGTATGTGCAAATCATAACAGTAAGATTTAATATAACATTTTTCAAATTTCAAGTTTTATTTGAGTATTGTAATTTAACTTCACCAATAATTCAAAAAAATTATACTTTTTTAGTAGTATTTTTAACTGCAAAAATCTTGNTTTGATATATTAATTAATATATATATATATATTTTTTTAGCGGAATGAAAAGACGGAAAATAATTCTAATTTTTAAGCAAATTTTTGCGTTTAGAGTAAAACGAGGTGAAAAAATATAATCAACTGTAATTCATTAGTTTTGTGCAAAAGACAGTGATGCTGAGGCAATTTTGATGAAACACACCGTCCGTCAACCTTAAATACCGCTACATGAGTCCGATGCTCGACGCGCGCTATATCAGAACAACACATCGATAGCACATCTCCGACTCTTCGAGGAATTGGCAAAAATCAACGCCTTTCAACCGACGAAAACTACATTGCATGTTATCTAGCAGATAAAATTGATATTTTACGATATAAAAACCTAACCGATGCGTCATGAATAGTAAACAAACACTGATTACTTACACAACATCTCATAGTTGACACCAAACGGCAGCCATGTTGGTTTGCAAGCAGTCACCTAACACGCTTTGCGCGTGTGCGACCCACAATGCATCGCGTGTAATCAGACAATATGGCGAAGTATTCGTCTATTGCAGGCTGACCATTTCAAATTAATATCTAATTATATTCAAATTGGTAAAGATTACAATATTAATTGGTGTTTGTTATAAGTTTCGGGTGAGTATAAAACAGATAAATTTTTTCTTAGAATGTATAATTAAACAAATGAATATGCAATTGGAAGAAACTAGGCTTAGTTTCAGATGATGTGTGATTTTGATTAGTTTACTTCTGCAATGATTTCGCATTATTTGTTTTGACAATAAAATCATTGATTTTCAATACGTTGGAACCTTAAACATTTTTGAAAACAATAAATAAATGAATGCCGCACATAACCGGTGAGCTGTGGCAAATACATTGAATTCAAATATCAATCAATAAGATTGATAAAGCAAATAAGAATAATACAAAATCCTTATATATTTACACAACAGAAAATTGTTTACAATAAAGATTAATAAAATACATGTGAAATATTTATTGGTATTTTAAAATGCACACAATGTACAATGTAAACATACACATTTTACCTGTTTGAATAAACAAATGTTAAACATATAGATCTTTATTTTGTAATAAGTTTTTGATTCATAAGAGTGAAATTTATTTAGAAGTATTATTAATTTATGGTGTGATGTGTTTCCTTTAATTTTAAATAATAAAAGCTGCTGTTTAGTTGTTGAAGTTTAAATAGTTGTTGAAGTTTAATATTTTATATTTAACAAATTTTACTGTTCATATATTTCTTATGAATGACAGTAAGAATCTGTCAATCTATTTTATATTAAGATAACCATATAGAGAGAAAATATTTAAATGACATTTTAAATTTAATAACTGAATTTTCAGATAGACCATATCTACTAGAGATCTTCCTTTCTGTTTAATTCTTTCATATCCCAAATTATTTTATATAAATTTTACAAGCATTTCACAAACCAGATTTTATTCATTATATTATATTAGTAACTTATTCTAAAACATCTTAGCATATCTTCATTTTTCAATTATATACATATAATTATATTTCATATATATATATATCATTGAAAAATAAAGATATGGTAAGATGTTTAAATATTTAAATTATACAGTAATGAGTCAGTTATTTGGCTTCCAGAAAAGGAATTTTGAAACTGCTTTTGAATTTGGTGGGCTGTAGTACCCTTGTACTTTGCTGTGCCAATGCTTTGTTTTGGTTTGTGGCATGAGCATTACACTGTGCCAGTTCCATTATAGAAGTTTATCTTCATTTAATTTTATCCTAAATATTACACTGTACATGGTATTTTATATTTTAAGAAGATTAATAATAATTAAACAGACCCTGCTTTAGAAATACAGTAGAACCTCCATTATCCGGACCTCTATTATCCGGATTTTCGATTATCCGGATTGTTCAAAATAAACAAAAATTTTACGAATTTGCTGATTTGCACTTGGCGAATTACGACACTGTTTATGTACGNATTTCAAGACAAATCGACGTAATATATAACCTATTTTATTATAATTTCATTTATAATATCAAAGTAAATTTACACATTTAGTATTATAATTTTAAATATATCTTTTATTCCATGTTATGTATGGAGTTAGAAAAGTAAATAATAAAAATAAAGCTGTATGTAGGACTTACGAAAGATTCAAGACGGCTCAACAAACAATTGTTATATATATATATATATATATATATTTGTACAGGAATCTATAACATCTAATTATCAAATAAATATATGTTGAATTAAATAAATGATTGATTGATGTGAAAGAATGTACTTGTATTATAATAAAGATTTTGATTTTAAAAGTTTGATTGTTAGGCTGCAATATTTATTATAAATTTTAAAAATAAATTGAAAAGAACAAGTGTGAACTACAAGTTTTAAACAAATTATTTCATTACTAATTCTATCAAATTATAATGAAAACATAATAACAATAATTTATTTTGACATGATTTTATTTTTACAATTAACTAAAATATTCTTCAATAATTTTTTTATTCATACTAGATTACATTCTAATCCATTTATAGTGATAAGTTGTAGGCCTACTTACTAAATCTGATATAATTAGATAATGTATTGTCAAAGTAAAATTGAAAAATATACAAAAATGAATTTTTGTTTTATTTCAAAGATTTCATTATTCATAATTGAGATGAATTGATTCTCTTGGGTTGGAAGCATTCCCAACAAAACTCTATTTCATAACATATTATTTATTGACAATAATATCTTAATTCATATTTATTACTGCATTTATAAATTTTTCATAGACTGTTTTAACTTATCTTGAATTCTTAATGTTTATTTTTATTTTTAACTTTCAAAGATAAAAATATTTTATACTAAAAAACTTAAATAATAAATAATAAACAAACTTCAAATTTGTTGTCAATTATTGTAATTAATTTTAATGTGATAAATTATATGCCTTTATTTTCATTTAATCTTTATAAAAGTAATTTATTTTATTAATCAATTGAATTGATTAATTTAAATGGTTCTTTATTTATTATATAATGCTAGTCAATAGGTGATCATTAAAAATTTTATTTAAAAAAATTGAATTTATTGCTGTTAAGGATTTTAAAGAATGATATAACAATAATAATTATGAAAAGAACCTTGATTTTTGAAGGAATAATTTCATTTTATTAAAAATAATTAGTGAAATGTTTATCAGTCAAAATTTGTTTTATTATAGAGTAATTTGTTAACATTATAATGATTTTTTTTATTTTTTAATGATTTGAAGATAATTTTTCAAATATTTAATTATTATTTTAACAATCCAATTATGACTTTTTCAATTATTGACAAACAATTTTTTTTATATTTCTTAAATAATTCAGAGTAATTGAAAATAAATAATAAATTGTATTATAGCTTATCATCATTAATAAAATAAGTGGTAGATGAACTGAAATGGATATGTACACTGTTTCAAAACTAAATTTTATAAATTAACATCAAATTAACAGCTACAAATCAAGAACTATGTATTAAGAAAACTAATAGAGTTTTCTACTGAAATTTTAACTAATTTGTAATACAAAGATATTACAAATTTATACATTTAATGCATTTTTTGATTATTGAAATTTTCATTTTTAAAATATTTTTTTTTTCTACAGCTCTCTTAATATCTGAATAGATGTATAGACCTATTAATATTAATGCTAATTTTTTAATTTTGTTAATTAATAATGCTTTTAAGTTAATTGAGATTTAGATTGAAGAACACAGAAAAGTTTGAATCTTAAATACTATACTTAGAATATAGAAGACTAAACTTAAATACTAAAGAACCCAATTTATATTTAGTTATTAAGAAAATTGTAATTGCATTTTTAATCAATGATAAATCATATGTTTTTATTCTAATTCTAAATTGTGTATTTAATTTACTTTTTATATTTCTAACATGTAATAATTTTCTAGTTCAGGTGGCTGATACTTTTTAACAATGGTCTAAAAAAATTACAGAAAAGTTTTGAGATGATATTCATTCCATGTAAGTGGGAATATGCTGATACTAGTACAAATTATTAGATGCTATTTTAAAATTTTTCTGTTTATGTGCAAATGATAAATATTAAAACTTCAATTTTTGATGATGACATTTTAATTAAATAAATTACCAAAAATATCTTTATATGATATTATAAAGTTGTTTTTATTATTTCACATGCAGAATTCACGTGAGAAAAACATGTCGTCTTCATTAGAAAGTTATTGTAGTTTATCATATAATATTGCAATATTTAAAAATTTACATGTGGACTATTTAATGAATATATAAATTAATCAGTTTTTATTATAAATAAAGCTGTAATAATAATATAATGTTTTATATATATATATATACTTTTACTTTTTTATTTTTAATTCAATTTAACTTAAAAATGACATTTATACAGAAATAAAAAATTCTGTAATTGAATTTCTAATTGAAGAAATTTGTATTTAATTGATGACAATTTAATTTCTTGCAAAATCTTTCCAATTTATATATATCTAAAAATTTTATAAATGTTTTTACAACCTAGTATAGTGGATTCTGTAAATCATAATTCATAGCAGCTATGTATGTTTTGAAAATTCAAGATAATAAATATTTTTTAAGAATCCAAATATTGTTTTGAACTCTTAAAATTCAAGAATTAATGACATTAAATTGAGCTTTGGAATATAAAGCTCAATTTCTATGAAAAAGATTGGCTCAGAATAAGATTTAAATCTATTTCAAGTCAGTCTTTTCAAAAGCATTTTTAAACTGTTAATTAATTAAATTAAAAATGTTGCCTAATTACTCATGTTATTCTGAAACAGTAACTTTACCTAATTTGTTTTTTAGATTTCAGATTAACTTAGAAATTACTTAGAGAAGATTTTGCAATTTTGGTTATTATTTAACTTTACTTTTTAATTATATTTTCATTTGCTATATTACTTATTACTTATTTAAACTTAATAAATTAATAAAATTACTTATAAAAATGGAAAGTTTTGACATATTCTAAAATTATAAAACAACAAATTATGGAAATTTTACTTTTATTATGGATTCTAATTTTGAATATTCTAAAATATATAAATATTATTCAATAAGAAATATAAATTTTTAATAATTGTGTTTTATAACTTGTCTTTTATCAATTTTAGATGTTTTGCATATTAGTATTTTAAAAATTTGAGTATTTTTGTATAGTTCATTCTACTTAAATTTATATGCTTATGTTAAATTGATTTTGATTTTTGAAGACAAGAATTTTTTTTTTTTTTTTTTTTTTTTTTTTTACCAAACCATCCATCCATCGCCAATCAAGACTTTTTCTACCCTTTCTATACTTCTAATAAAACATTTTCCTGTGCACTCTTATCCCGGTCTCTGTGCCATCTTGCACCATAGGTGGGACTAGATTGCAAATATTTATTTCTTTCGAAAAATTCCTTCTATAACCTATTAATTTCGTTCTATACAATTTTT